TCCTTTAGATTGTATATTTATTTGGGGGCTTTAATGGGGTAAATGATGGAGATTTTTAGAGTGATGTGAGCCTTTCTAAACTATTACAAGGCATTGTCACTGGCTAGATCTCAAATTGGATGAGTCTAGTGAAATAAATGTGCTTTAAATTATTTCACATGCATAAGCTTATGCTATGCTATCTATTTTAGGGACATAACATCTCTTGGCTGTGTAAACATGTGTTTCAAAACTGTGTGGTAAAGGGCTTCAGTGCTTCCCTATTTCATCAAAGTAGCAAGTATGAAGCAGGTCTCCATCCTGCTATGAGCCCATCCTGCTAATAAAGCTTAATGACACTTGCTATAATAAGACATCATTCTTCAATATCTTGTCTCCATTTTATGTCTGACTCCAAATCAAATGAGTCATCTTTTCTTCTATCTCATTCTTTGCTTTTTTCATGTACCCTTTCTTCATAGTCTCATTACTATTAGCTGTGCTTATAATACCTTTCAATGGCTTACAGAAAATCATCAGGTTCATGCCCCAAAAAAGTGATAAATTAAGATTTTGGAAGCATTACTTAGTAATGTACTTGAAATTTTTTGCTCTTTTTTGCCTATTGATTCTTATTTTTATTATTTTATTATTATTTTTAATTTTTTTGTTTTAAAAATGTGGGGTAAAATTCAGGATTAGGAACATAAGTGACCATAATACAGGTGAAGTGTGGGTCTCCCATTGGTCCTCACTTACCTGCTTTGGGATCAGGTACCTTTATTGATGTTATGTTCCCCCCATTCCCTCCCTCCTGTGGCAGTGTCCTGCCTCTGCCAATCCCTTTCATGTAGTATTATGATAAATGTTCAGGGTCCACTTATGAGTGAGAACATGTGGTACTCGGTTCTTTGTTTCTCTGATGGATTTTTTTAACATAGCAATTTATTTGTTTTGGTAGATGCCATAAGCTCAAACTCTTTTTCCAAAATGTTTCAAATCTACCTGGGGTTATCCATCTCTAGCCGAATGGCATATCCATCTCTCTGAAAATTTACTGCAGGAGTTTCTTCTGCTTCCCCTTCTACATTTTCATTCCCTTCATAGAAAATAATGAACCACAATATGCTACTTTTTAAATCCTTTCATTGGATGCACTTAAAATAAAAGGTAGTATGCTGAATGTGGCCTGCTAAGCCTTTCTTAATCTGACTCCAGTCACCTCAGCTCTCACCACTATCCCCTTCAAACACTGTACTACAGCACCACAGTCTCAGGTCCTCAAATATATCAAGTATTTTTCTCCTCAAGGTTCTTTGCACTTGCTATTCTTTTTACCTACCATGTCCCTTTTTCTACTCTCTACTCTCTTCTATAATTATGGTTACATTTTAATTGCATTATAATTTAATTACATTAGCTACATTATAATTATAGTCACGCGTGATTTGTCTATTGATTAATTCTAAAAATTAAAAGACAAAAAAATAGCAGATTGGACCCATTCTAAAAACTATTCCACTCTTAGGTACTTGCCTAAGAAAAATAATAACTTTTGTCCACAAAAAGATTTGTGCTTAAATATTCCTAGGAGTTTATTAATAATAATAAACTGTAAAACACCAAGCTGTAAAACACCCAAACCCCATCAACAGAAGGGCGGGTAAAGATATTATGCATATTTGTACATTGCATTATTACTCAAAAAAAAAAAAAAAAAAACCGAAGCACTAATACACACAACAACTTCGACTTTCAAGACAGTATATTAAACAAAAAAAGCCAGATGCAGAAGAATGCTTATGGTATGGTTCCATTTTTGTAAACTTCAAGGGCAAGCTAACCAGTTTATAGTTACAGAAACCTGAACAACTGTTGCCTCTGGGGGTGTGTGTGGGGAGTGGACACTGGCTTGAAAGGGCACACAGGAACTTCATGAGTGATTAAAATGCTCTATCTCTTGCTTTGGGGAGTGACTACAAAGAAGTATACATTTGCCAAAATGTATTAAACTATACACTGAGGACCTGTGTATTTTATTGTGTATGAAATATATCTCCGCCGGGCTCGGTGGCTCAGCCTGTAATCCCGTGTTTTGAGAGGCTGAGGTGAGTGGATTGCCTGAGCTCGTGGGTTCAAGACCCACCTGGGCAACTTGGCGAGACCTCATCTCTACAATAAATTTAAAAAATCAGCCGAGTGTGGTAGCACGTGCCTGTAATTCCGGCTACTCGGAAGGCTGAGGCCAAAGGATCGCCGGAGCCCAGCAGGTCGAGGCTGCAGTGGCCGGGAGTGGCCGCTTCACTCCAGTCTGGGTGACAGAGTGAGACTCCGACTCAAAAAAAGAGAAATATATCTCAAATAAAGAACAACATAATCATAAGTGTTTATAAGTTGGCTGTTCAAAAGAGACTCTTTCAAGAATCAAGTCCAAAGAGTCATTTTACTTTCATATTAGCTTCCTTCAGTTTTTCGGAATTATACTCATAGTTCATGTATGTTAATAACATAAGATGTGATCACCACGCCTCCCTCAAGGTCTACAGACTCTTATATACCTCATTCTCAAGCCTACATCACATTAGAAGTAGCTGAAAAGTACACCGACAGACACACTGGTAATAATGAGTAGGCTGATACCCTGGCTTTGAAGAAGAAACACTAAAAGTATGACCAAGAGTTTAAAAAGAGTGAGGGCCTAGAAAAAATGAGACAAAAATCAGATACTGCTATACATTTTCCCAGACAAAGGGCATCACATTTTATAACAGGCCTCGCTCAGAAATGTTAAACTATATGCAGTATAATCTATTTTAAATTAAAGGGAGGATGCATACATAAAAATTCCACACATAACAGTTTAAATAATATTCTTATTTTGGTGCTTGAAAGGCTAAAGCTGCAGCTATTTGAATTAATCCAGGCAAGAATTAAAGCCATTCCATGGTAGACCCTAGTACTGGTGGTGAAGGAGCCATCTTCAAGTAAATAGCTGACATTAGATAACTAACTGGAGCTCTAGGTAACTAAAAGGGGTCATATGATACCAACAAGTAATGACTTACCATCTTTACTGCCAACATGTCATTTTCTTATCACTATAATGATGCTGAGTAATATAGAAAGAGTATGCTTTCCTGGGATCATATACATGGTTATGTACCCTCCGTGAAGTGAGGTCATAAAAAGGTCTTGCTGGTTGTTCTGAAAGCAAAGTACTTTACATGGGCCCCTAGAGAGCTTTCTGAATGATTTCTACTCCCTAGAGACTTTTTTTTTTTTTTTAGAGAGTGGGTGTTTCTCGGACACCTGGGCTGGAGTGCAATGGTACCATCATAGCTCACTGTCGCCTCAAACTCCTGGGCTCAAATAATCGTCCCGCTTTAGCTTCCCAAGTGGCTCCATAGATATTTTATTGTAGAATTTTTCTAGTGAACTTGAGAAAAAGAAAAAAAAATTCAACTTTCTATAACACAAATTCTGCTCAAAATGGAGTAAAATATTAAAAACACCGTTGTTGCATTGAAAGAAAAGCTCAATGAATAGAACTTTGAAATGAGAGACAAAGGTGGAATGGTAAAGAGGGCAAGACCTTCTGATTTTCAGAAATGAAAGCAAACCTTGCTGAATTTGGACAGCATAATGGAAAGGGGAGCCCTCTTAGGTTGAGGCATTGTGTCCTTTAATTGAGATTCATGTTTGAATTAGATACTGTGTTTCTGTAGGAATGAAGTCCCCATGGAATAGTTTCTCACAGGGAGGTGTATACTTTGGGATGGAGAGAGCCTGGAATGTCCACAGTGATCAAGAGAAATGTGCTTGTGGATGTGTGAGAGGTATCAAGGGAAATGATCACTGCCAAGCTGATTTTTTTTGTGTTTGTTTGTTTTTGGAGTTGGAGTCTCACTCTTTGCCCAGGCTGCAGTGCAGTGGCACGCATGCTCACGGCCACCCCAGCATCGACCTACTGGGCTCCGGTGATTCTTCTGCCTCAGCCTTCTGAGTAGCCAGAACTACAGACGCGCGCTACCATGCCCGGCTATTTTCTATTTTATTGTAGAGACGAGGTCTCGCCAGGTTAGCCCCGGCTGGTCTCGGACCTGCGGGCTCAGACAGTCCACTCACCTCGGCCTCCCAAAATGCTGGGATTACAGGCTGAGCCACTGAGCCCGGCCCTGATTTGTTTTTTAACTGCCAAAGCATTCCTGGGATATTCTCCCTAGCTGCTAGAATTAGAGAAGTGGTGAGTTTCAACAATATGTTTCTCTATTATAAATGTAAGCATTTTTGGTAGATGTATTTTTAATTCTAAAAGACAATGATAACCTTAACAAATCACTGAAATGACCTCTCTTCATTCTGTTACTCTTTAATAGGTAATATTGTATTTTTGTGTTTTCTTCTAGTCTACACATTCCTTTTTTTTCTTTGAAATTTAAAGAAAAAATTTATTGAAGATCTGAAAAACAATTCCTAAAAGATTGACTTTTCCAGAAAACTAGCTGCACAATGCGTTGCGTCTATCATGTTAAAATGTGCATTAGACACAAATACAAAAACTATGAAAAAAGTTACCATTCTTCAACAATTTGAGCAAAAATAAAATGCCTAAGGAACAACATGAATGACTTGCAAAGAATGGGCTCTTTACTTTAAGCACCATTAAAAAAAAGGAGCACAAATGGATGAGTGTGTTCAGTTATATACACTGAATTGAACCTTTGGCACTAGGAATTAGAGCATTTTGTCATATAGCATTAACACGTATTATAAAAGCACATAGTGTCAAAGGAATAGAACCACCGGCATTCAAAAGCAACTTTGTCAACTAGGCAATAAAACACTCTACAGCATGTCTCTGTGTTGTCCATCATTGAATATACTGGTAGCAACTTTGAAATGAAAAAAAAAGTAAGAAAAGGAAAAAGGAGCTATAACCCCTTTTATTTTCTCTGTTTAAAATCAAACAGAAAACTAACATTGTCTCTGTGTTGTCCATCATTGAATATACTGGTAGCAACTTTGAAATGAAAAAAAAAGTAAGAAAAGGAAAAAGGAGCTATAACCCCTTTTATTTTCTCTGTTTAAAATCAAACAGAAAACTAACATCAATTGTTATACACTAACATCTTCAAAGTACATCATTTGTACAAGAGAAAGACTAAGAACAAAAACGTGTTTACAGAGATCCAAACATAGTGAGCACGAATGCCTCTCTCTCTTTTTTTTTTTTTTTTTTTTGAGTTGAAGTCTCACTCTGTCGCCCAGACTGGAGTGCAGTGGCTGCTCCCGGCCACCGCAGCCTCGACCTGCTGGACTCTAGCGATCCTTCTGCCTCAGCCTTCCAAGTTGCAGGAATTACAGGCATGGACTACCACGCCTGGCTGATTTTTTTGATTTATTGTAGAGATGAGGTCTCGCTGCCCAGGCGGGTCTCGAACCCAGCCTCTCACACAGCTTTCAGGAGGGGCCACTTCATAATCACTGGCACTAAAAAAGGTTGCAGAATTCTTTGCCAGGTATTTTAGGAAGTCATGAAGATAATTCAGTAATAAAGCAAGGCTCTTCTCATCCAAAGGTGTATAGGCCAACATTGCTCCAATTCGCACAAATAATCTCAGCAGATGCAGTGCTCCATACACCTGGGACATGGGAGCATCAGGATGATCCGCAAGAATTTCAGCATACTGTGGCCTCTCGAATTTGTAGAGTAGCTGAGTGCCCAGCATTACACTGAAGTATTCTTTTATTCCTGCCATAACTTCATTAACAGCATACTCATTATCTGTGTTTCCAGGAGATTTCTTATAATTTGCACAATCCTCTAGAATGGAATTCACATTCTTCTTGGCAGGAAGATAAAAGAGCTGTTTTTGCCTGGTAATTAAGTCCCAGTCATCAACAAGCCATGGTTTTAGCTCTTCAGGAATTTTTACTTTAACTTAAACTCTGTTCACGAATGTTTCCTCATTTTCAACAGTAGGATCTACCCAGGCCCTTTTCTTCTGAGGAAGCTGAGGTGTCCCACTGGTACTGCTACCATCTCCATTTCCAGGTGTTTTCTGTTTGTTCTTTTTTGTCTTCACTTCAACATTTTTCTGTTGCAGAACAGATGTTTCCTGGGGTAGCCCCTCTCATCTTTCCCTCTGCATACTGCTCCTGATTGGCTTTTTGAAGTTCTCGCTTCTTTTGCAGATTGGTGTCCACGTGTTTGAGTACTCTGCTCTCTGGTACCCATTCGCCCCAACTGTTATTCCAACCACCCTAATGTATAAAGTATTTTACTTGTTTGTCCTTTATGGCAACCTTTACACACTTTGCTTCATAAAGAAGAGGTCCATGAAAGCACAGCACTCTCTCACCCTCCTGGAATTTCGGCTTCGGGTCTGCTTCGGCGCCATTTATAAGCGATTCGCCGCCTCCTCCTTCTCCCACCACCTCGACTACCGCCCCCTACTCTCTACCCCACCCAACTTCGCGTCAGACGCGCCGTCAGGCACCGCCTGCTCTACTTCTTGGGCCCGGTTTCAACATTCTTTCTTTAACCATACTTTTGGGTAAGTTTCCTTTTGGCATAATACCTGTTAAAGCAGTTTCCGACCCTTAACAAGCTGGAAATAATTCTCCAGTCTGGCACCATTCTGCATTAAATTGGAAAGTTGAACCTCGGAGATGCAAATACAATTTCATGAAGATTTTTGAGATTTTCCCCTTTCAAAACAACTGCTGATCACTTAACAATGTGCTTGTTGAAATAAGGAAGGCAAACACTGTGGATAAGAAAGCTACTCCTTAGTTCTCCAGAATGATTTGAGGGATCATTCTTTCTAACTTGTTTGGTAAGAAAACAGAGGTCACAGAGGTAACAAACGCTCAAGCTGAGACTTGAACCAAGGTGTTAAAACATAAAACTTGGCCGGGCTCGGTGGCTCAGCCTCTAATCCCGGCACTTTGGGAGGCCTAGGTGAGTGAATTGCCTGAGCCCGCGGGCTCGAGACCAGCCCGGGGAACTTGGCGAGACCTCATCTCTACAATAAAATCAAAAATAGCCGGGCGTGGTAGTGCTTGTCTGTAGTTCTGGTTACTCGGAAGGCTGAAGCGGAAGGATTGCCGGAGCCCAGCAGGTCAACGCTGGGGTGGCCAGCCTGGGCAAAGAAGTGAGACTCCAACTCAAAAAATTAATTAATTAATTAGTTGATTAAAAAGAAAACTTTACTTTTGAATAACCTTTGACTTACAGGAAAGTTGTAAAAATAGTTTATTTACACCCTTAATTAACTTCCCCTGATGTTAACAATCACAGTAATAGTTACATGATCAAAATCAGAGAATAACACAATCAACGTTGATACAATACTACTAAACAACACACTTAATTTGAATTTGATGAACTTTCCCTCTAGAGTCTTTGTTTTCTGTTGTTGGATCCAATGCAGAGTCCCACATTGCATTTAGATATTATGCTAGAAGAGTGTCTCAGGCTTTGCCTTCTATAATCTTGACATGTTTGAAGAATGCTATTCAGGTATTTTGTAGACTGTCCCTCAGTTGAGATTATTTGATGTTTTCTCATGATTAGACTGAGAGGATGAAGTTTTATTGACAATATAACGGAGGTGATGTGCCCTCATTGCATCATATGAAGAACAACATGATTCTGATATATTCTGTTACTGGTTGTGTTTACCTTGGTAAAGATGATATCTATCTGGTTCCTTCTCTGTAAACTTACTATTTTTCCCTTTGTGATTGGTAGACATCTTGAGGAGATACATTAGGACTATGCTAATATCCTATTTTACCTGATGCTTTCAACAACATATTTTAGTATCTATCAGTTGTTTACCCAATAGTGATTTTGTATTTTTCTCATTCCTCTTGCATTTACTAATTATAATTCTCCTGAAAAGAAGCTGTTCTTTCTCCCTATTTATGTATTTATTCAGTTATCTATATTGATATGTATAGACTTGTGAACGTTTCTCTTATTCTACTAGATTACAATCCAGTACTATCATTATTCATTTTGTTGCTTAAATATTTCCAACTTTAGCCATTGGGAACTCCTTTAGGTTGGCTCCTGCATTCTTTTGACATGCTTCAGCATCGTGGGGTTTTTGTTGTGGTGGTTGTTTTGAGTCCTTCCTTATTTTGTGACACCACAATTAGATTATTTCTGCCCCAAGCCTAGAATCAATCACTTTTCCAAGGAACCTATGAAGTAAGACCTTTTGATGTAAACCTCTTATGCTCCATCCTTGAGCTCATGTTACCTCTTAAATAATTTAGACTTGAATGCTTTACAAATTTTCTCAGAAATATACTAGAAAGGCAGGTGAAGTTTATGCTTACTGAGTTTGTTCTAGTCATCAAACGCCACCAACAGTTACTCCCTGTGCTCCTCTGTCCACTCTATTTGTACCACCAGGATGATTCAAGCATGAGGTGGCAGGAAGAAGAGAGAATATGGAAGTGAATTTGAGTGTAGATAAGAGTATAGATATAGACATCTGTGAATACAGATGAAGATATGGATAAGGAGGCTGGGAGAATCCCTGGAAACAACTCAAATATGCACACCTAAATTCCTATGGCTTTACCACTATGCAAATAAGAAAAATACAAAGTTTTAAAAGCAAGTCAGAATTTTGGAAGTTTATTTTTTTCTGTCTCTTTTCTACTCCGCTTGCTGGGAAGGTTCTCTCTGTAACTTCAGTCTCTCTCTCTCTCTCTCTCTTTCTTTCAAGTTGTCTCTGACAGTTGTCTGGGCTAGTTTATAAGGTCATGAAAAACCTGCTACTCTTTGAATCTCACACACTTATTGAATATATATTATTATTTAACCTATGTTAGGGATAAATAAAATTGAACATATGGATGTTAAATGAAAACAAAGCTAAATTCACAGTAGAAATTTAAAAGAAGTCTAGAAACAAAAACCAATATTTTAGATTTCTCAGATTTTGCATAAATTGGCTTTTGCAAGACAAGTTAGAAGAACTATCCAAATACAAGCGTATTCATAACAAATTTAATATCTATAGTAAGTCCCACGTTCAAGTCTAGAATTTAAGAACACTCTAACAATTGCACACTTTTCCGGGGTCCATTATAAGCACAAAATTGTTTTTCTGCTTTATGAATAGTCATTTCATATCTTTTTATTTGTGATTTTATACAAGATTACACTGCATTTTTTTTCTGTGTACTTGTCCCTGTGTGTGTGTGTATGTGTATGGCATTTGTATATGTGAGTGTGTGAGACAGAGAGGGAGGGAGGAGAGAAAACGAGAGAGAAAGAGAGGAGAGGGAAGGAGAGAGAGAGAGATGACATACTCATTTCTTACTTTTACAGGGGATTAATACATATCAGCATACATCTAGACTGGGACCGACTCATTTGGCAGGAATAAGAAGTTCACAAGCAAAAATAAACAAAGAATGGGGTGAGATCTCAAGAAGAGGAAAAGAATGGGAAGGCAGTTTACAATTAAGGTATGAATAGAGGTGCTTTATTAAAATAATTTTCACTTTCTCTTAGGCATGTTGAATTTTTATCCTGAGTTTTATAGTACTTGTTTCAAACTATCTAGAAATTCCTGCTCCCCTCTGATCCTCATAATCATGTAGTCATTAAGTCCAATATATTTTACCTCTTCCACATCTTGTGCACTTATATCTCTGCAGGTGCTCACCTGGTTCAGACTCTTACCAAATTTTGTTTGGACTGTTGCTATAGTCTTAGTCCCATTCTTGTCTGCCTCTGAATTATTGATCACTTAAAACTCATCCCAAGCAGCTTCTCCTCTCAGTAAGAGCTAGCCATTTCTTTCTTGGTGTCATCATGGAAACTTGTGTTAACTCATTCTATAATTCTGCCCCACATGTATCTAATTGATAGTTTACTTTTCTTCCATTCTTTTTTTTTTTTTTTTTTTGAGTTGGAGTCTCACTCCGTCACCCAGGCTAGAGTGCGGTGGCATGCTCACAGCCACCCCAGCATCGACCTTCTGGGTTCCACGATTCTTCTGCCTCAGCCTTCCAAGTAGCTGGAACTACAGGTACACGCTACTGCACCTGGCAAATTTTTGATTCATTGTAGAGAAGGGGTCTCACCAAATTACCCGGGCTGATGTCAAACTCACGGGCTTGGGCAATCTACTAGCCTTGGCCTCCCAAAGTGCTGGGATTTTAGGCTGTCTCCCATTCTTGACTGAGGCTGGGAGTCTTCAGAAATGGAGGTTATGTCCTTAGTTTTTTTTCCCCTAATGCCTAATGGTGTTGAGGAAACTTAAGTGCTTGGTTAATGAGTGAAAAAAATGAGCAAATGAAGGAGTCCACTTAGTTCACTGATGAAATATTAACTAGTAAAGGACTCACTATCAATTCCAGAAAACATTTCTCTCCCCCCGAGGCCAACAATTTATTACATGGAAGATTATCTTCTTTAAGGTGATATCTTACAAGCTGTAGTTTCTCTTCTACAAATATATTATTTTCTCAAAATATGAAGAGTTATTTTTCCTTTTTGAGGGCGTTTGTAATTATTATGCCTCATATCCACCTAGAAAACCAAACTGGTAACACAGCAATTAAGATACCTGAATATAGGAAACACAGCTGTTAAAAATTACTTATAGAAAGTTAACCTTCCTTTCCCAAGGTTCACACACCTTCAGTTGTATCTATTTAGTACTTTCCAGAGTTCAGGGAACTCTTTATTGCCAAAGTAGCCTATTTCTAAATATCTGAACAGTGTCATGCTCCTGGGAAATACGTGGGTATATAAAAAACTTATAATTAGCTTGTCTTTCACCACTTTTAAATAAAAATTTAATTAAATGAATATTTAATGAGTTATTTTAAACTCATGATGTGCTTCAAGGTAAATATCATTTCAACATGATATCCATTGTTATATAGCTTAAAAATAAATATAACAAAGTATATTTTTAGGTATGTCTATATTTACATCTCTCAACTCTAAAGAAAAGCACAGGGATTATGAACAGAACCAGAAGAGTTACTGCCTCTTTGATGAGGCATGGAGAGTGGATCAGAGAAGAGAGTCCAGTAGTTCAGTAGCTTCCATGGGACTAGAATGTTCTCTTTCTGTGAAAGGTCACGGGTTTATGGCTGTTATGTTATTGTTATACTTCCTAACTTAGATGAACATCTCACTTTTGAGAATATACTCTAAGAAACAAAGCACCAGTATTTGAGGGTATATGTAAAAAAAGAAGAAAGAATAAATAGAATAAGGAAATAAATATAGTTACTGTATAATCTCCACTTGTGTTCTTCTTACATACTCCTAAGTGTGATACTTATTTTTTATAAAGACCAAATTTAATGATAAATATTATGAGCATTATCATATATTGATAGACTTTGATAAAGCAATTTATGTTTTAAAATTAGTTTTTTAAAAAATTTTAAGCAATATTATAACCTAAACATATTGTTTGGTATAAATAAATACATTTGCATAAATATAGTAAGGTATATTCTGCTGATAGAGG